AATGAAAACAACAATGTAAGACAATAAAATATATTGTTGCCAGGTAGTTCTCATATCCTTGCCCGCACATCATCTGTCATACAGTTCTAACCTTAAACTTGAACACAACAGAAAATCAGTATTGCTAGTGAATCCACAGTGTGAGCAGTGCACTGTGGGTGCAGCAAACACATGATTCAGATATTAATCAAATGGAACAGAAGGCTCTCGATCTGCACCATTACAAAAGATAACAGGTTGTCCAATCAAGATGTCAAATCTCTTTGTTGTTTGGATGACTTGCATACAGAAAATCAATAGCACAGAAGAGCAGAGATTGTGCTCTGTACTATCTTTCATGTTGAATGGTCAAACTGAAAGAAGAAGCGTAAAAATGCTTTATATTATACCGTCAGGCTTTGTGTGACAAATCCAGTTCTTGGCAACCTGATCGTTCTCATTATTTTAGTATTCATAAATATGTGGCCCTGGATGCTTTAGTCTACATTTTAGAAGAGGATCTCTCTGAAACAGAGAACAGAGAGCATTCATATTACATTATAGGATCGGCTTGCTTCAGCTCTCAAATCAAAATTACCCATTGCACCTTATCCTCTGAAAACTGTCTACTGACTAATAGGATGACTTTCAATAAAAAGGCAAAATCCCAGGAGTTCCAGACTCTGAAGGAGATAACAGAGGTGGAAAACCTAATGTTCTAGGTAGCAGGTAATGAGGTTCCTGGAAATCGTATTTTTGGGGGAAATTGAGGTTTAGCTTAATAATGCAACATTTAGTTTAGTGTAGCCCTTTAGAAAACCCATTTGATAGGCGAGTAGTTGAAGTAGTTTGAATCGCTTGTCTGAAAAGAAATGTTCGGTCTGTAGTGTTTCAGCCTCCGGACTCCGACAGGTGCTTTATAAAACTGTATGAATTAGATGCTGCTGAAAGGGAGCAGTGACATTTTGAGGATAAATAAAAAAGAACTACAGGTACTACAAAGCTCCACTTTAAATACACTTATGTAGCCTTTTTAATTGCTTTGCATCCTTTATTTCAAACAGAAGTTGGCATAAACAACAAGTTGCATTCATTAACAAAAATGTGTTGAGCCAGGAACATAGAGCCCGCCTCTATCCTGTCAAAGGTTTTGGGCTGAAAGCCTGGCCACCATTAATGCCACCATTTGACTTTCCAAGTCAGATGGATAGCTTTGTATTCTGTCTTGGGCAGTACTTTTCCAGTGTAGCCAATTGTATTCAATTACCAGGAAAGGTCATCATACTGGAAACATTTAAGTAATATCTTGACTAGATGAATGGGCAACAATTAATCTGCATCAACTGTCATGGCTGAAGGTCAGAAAATGCACAAATGTATCTTATTCTTTTTTGGATGACAGTGTCAGTCTATTGGTCTACCACTTCGCTGCAGACTGAAACTTCACAGCAACTATTGGAGGAAATGCTTTAAAAAATTGATATTTGGACATTCAAGCCCAGAGAATAAATCCTAATGACACCATGTATTTGTTTACAAAGAATGAATTATAATACTGTTGTGATTCCTTTAATATCCCCTCTACTTAAAACATGCTTACTTTTTTATGGGCAGCAGCTTGCGGTTTAGTTTCTCGCTCAAAGAAACTTTGCCTGCCAGACAGGAGTAGTGAAGAAATCGAACCATTTACCTCATGATTAATAGATGACCTGCTCAACCTCTTCAGAGCCACAGCTAACCCAAAAGGATATCCTCTTCAAAAGCTGCCTCAAAGGTCTGCTAGCATCACTGTACACTCTCGTTTTAACATAATGAAAATGTGAAAAAGCCACATGAGCTGAGGGCTCATGACCAGCAACAAATGTTTCTAAGAATCTGCCCACCAGTGTCATGGGAAAGATAATTAGGATGTTTCCCATCTGTGTGTTTTCTCTGTCTGTCCCTCTGACGCCTGACACTACTTCACTGATAACAGCAGAAAGCCCCTGGCTGGTGGACAGGATCTGCATGTTTACTGAAAAGGATAAAAATGTAGCTCAAAGGTTGAGTTTGAGAAACACTAGTTTACACTTTCCCTGAGTCATGAGCTGCAATTTTACCTCGTAAGTGGTTTGTAGAAATTAACACAGTAAATAGAAATTGTAAAATTAATGATGGGGAAAGTTGTGTTTGATTGACCCCTATGGTAAAGGTATTCAGCAGACAGTTTCTCTGAAGGCAATTAGCATGATTAGGGCATTCCGGCTAGTGCATAACACATTCGGTTAAATGCTTGGCCTCCGGTACTGCTGCTTGTAGCTTTCTCGAGAACCACTCATCCTAAAAGCTTCACACTAAACAGTGTGCTTCCTTGGGTCATCAGCAGTACACTTGGCAATGTGAAGTCGATGGGATAAACGTTTGTAGAGACTTGAAGGACATAATTACATACAGTGTATATACAGGCGTCTGTATTAATTATAGATTGAGAGCTCTGGCAGAGAAGTTTGATGTATTTTTCAACCTCAATGAGTTTTGTTTTTTAGGATGAAGAAACTGCACCACACTGTTTGTATAAGAGTCGATAATTACATAAATGGGTGCCAGGATATGTTTTTGTTCTTTGTTCTGAAGGCTCTGTAGAATGTGCAGAACAAAATAATTGGGAAATAAACTCCTGGCTAAAAATAAATCTTTTTTATTTTCCTTAACAGGCTCAACATTACTCTCAGTTATACATCCTAAACAGATCATGATGACTCTGAATATTCAATTGTACCACAAGAAAGAGAGCTACACGCTGTTTCAAAACCAATTCCCATTAATAAATGCCCATGAGTGCATTTCTTGTGTTCTCCAAGTATGTGTGAATGCATGAAGCTTATCATCTTGAAAACACACGTTGTCATTTGAATCTCTCATCTCACAGAAGAAAGCCAGAGGTCTGTGTATTAACTCTCCAGTCCTCAAGGACCTCATCTATGTTTAGTGCTCACCAGATATTTACTGTCTTTACATCATAATACTGTCACCGTATTTGTATCCCAGAGGAATTCAAACCTAAACCAGGAGGATGTGAACCGCTTCCAATTTTCTTTTTGAAAGGCTGTGAACATTGGTTTTAAGTCTCCCGCAGCACACTGAAATAATGTCAATACTCGCGCTGAGCAATTTGTTTTCTATTTGCAAGTCCACCTGCGTCTCTGCACAGGTCACACCACAGTCTATTCATCTCATCTCTTGCTGACCTTTTAAGAAATGCCTCTAAATTGACTTTGTCACCCGTTTTGGAGGGGGGAGTGGGTGGGGGAGAGTCACTTGCACTCCTTGACTCAGAAGTCTATTTCCATTCTGACATGGATTTTGAAAAGCACGTATGACAGTCGTGTCTCATGTGTAATCAAACATTTCAGATCTGTTTAGGGAAAACCTTTTCACAGGCACAAAATGTGCATTCTCACCCACAGAAATTGCTGCATTTAAACGACTTTTATTAAAATGGGGTCAGTGAACAACAGATAGGATAATCTTAGTATCCTCAAGAGCCCTCTCTGTTTCTGTATGTAGTCTCAAGAGGAAGGTCTTTGTTAAAACAAAAGACACTCAATGTGGTGTATTATATCCACAGTCAGAAGGAGTAGAGATGGAAAACATGATGGTGGGAGCTGTTCCAAGATTTAACTGAGATGTTGCAAACAGACGTCAAAGAAATCACTCAATGCTTTGAAGGATCTTCTGCATGTGTTGCTTTTAAAATGGCACAACTCTGAACCTATGAACTCTACATCTAAACAATTTACACACGCTGCATGCTTCACATCACTGCTATTGTAGGAGTATTTATTACTTTACTTGAATTTCAAAACATTATGACGAAGGGAAGAAGTCAAATTAAAAGGCATTTTTATAATAATAATAATAATAATACATTTGATTTATATAGCACACTTTAAAGACAACGTCATCTCAAGGTGCTTCACAAAGCTATAAATTATATATTATAATTATACAGTTGGTATGAATTTTATCTCAACTCCAGGATTTGCTACAGCATGGTTCAACGATCTCCAAGGGTCTGTTTTTACTCTCAAGTAAAACGTCCCACAGTATTCCCACTGCACAGAGCTATACTGTTATTTCCGGGCTATCTTTAAATCCCTGAGGAGGCTTTTTCCGGACATATTTTGTTTCTGTTCATGGGTGCTGGAAAAATGTAACAAAGGGTCAAAGCACTGTCACGCCTTTTATCTTGCACTTGTTATCAGATAATAAATGCCTGACAGCAGTCTTCACAACCAGACGCCTTATTTTCCCTGTAGTGTCAAGAGCATTCAAGGGAACTTCTATTTTTCAGGCAACGCCAGTGTTCCTTTATAGTTGAAGGGAGTTTCTTTCTTTGTTTAACAGTAATGTGCCCGGTGTGTATCGGCACAAATAACAGCTATCATTCACACAAAACACAACAAGATTCCTCTCCACCCACTCATGCCTGACCCGGCTCATCTCAGCGTTATCTTATCATCGTCTTATCACAGGACCCAGAAAGAATTACAAACATCTCACCTGTCAAAAAACACTTCAAGACAGTATTCCCACAGTTTGTGAAATAAGGTCATTTGACTGCCCTACTATTCGTGCAGCCCAAAAGGTGAAATATAGACTGTACAGACGTTATCTTAAAATCACTGTTCTTTCTTTTGTTCCCATCAAGTATATTTTGTTCTTCTGTCTGTGTCTATTCAAAAAATAGGAAAGTGTATCCATTTTCAACTCACATCTTTGATCTTTGCCTCTGTTCAATCCATCTTCTTTTCCCACCAGATAGATCCAAGCCCAACAGTTTGGGCCTGTATGCTAAGCTAAGCTAACCAGCTTCTGGTAGTAGCTATATATTTAAAATACATACATGAATGTGGTATGAATTCGTATCTAACTATTTGCAAGTACGTATACAGTATACTGTAAGCGTATTTCCCAAAATGTAAAACCACTTCCTCCTACGCCGACCAATAACAGGTACAGTCAGAAAGCCTGCAGGCAGATTTCATTTTATTCTTTCTTTGGCTACTTACAGCAACACACATTCATAACCAAAATACAAAGTAGTCAAGTAGTTAGGGTGGTATAAACCAGTCAAGTCTCTGAATAAATACTGTACTTTAAGAACACACAAATATCTAGCTTGTTCTCATTTACTGTAGTGCTGTACATTTTTAACATCAACAAGAACACATATTTTTTTTTAATTCAGTGCAGATTCATTGTTGGCAGATGATGGCACTTGATTTCCCTCTGTCCTTAGCCCACTTTTCAGTAAAAATGAAAAAAAACATTATCGTGATAAAAGTTCACACAGTAAACAAGTACAGGTTATTTTCTTCTTTTCAGGTCATTCCAACTTTGACATCCTATTGCTGCATGAGGGAAGGATTACATTCTGCGAAATACTTAAAACTAGGTGAAAGGGTTTCATGTGCAGAGATTATGAAACTTTATAAAGACCACAAAATCCTATTTTTCTTAAATCTAAAAAGAAGTTTTTTGTTGTCACAGCAGCCCTGTAAGAAACTGGATGTTGGCTAAAGCTACATCACGCACAGTGCATTTTAGCAGCCAGACCATAATTAAACAACTTGCTAGTGCTGTACAGTAGTTCTTGTATAATATTACTAAATTACAGTCATCCCCTTCTTCATTCATCTTTTCACAGCATTGAGCAAATAAATAGTTGTGTGCGGAGAGATCTTAAACCATATTCCTTCTTTCTGTCCGAGTTTGTCAGTGAATATTAAAACTGCAGTTCATTATCTCCGGGGTTAAGGTTCAATTGTCATAATGCTGTCCGATATGCTGTGACAATCCTTGAACAAATGACTTTGACAAATACATATATTATTTAGAAAAGGTTTCTTTTGGATGGAAGAACAGTATATGGATTTTTACAGTGTTTGACCAACAAAATTTACAGCATTTATAAAGCATGGAAGTGCAATTGAGTTCATCTAACAAGACTGAGCCTCAATCTGAGGCTGAACTGATTGTCTTTTGGGACACAGTATCTTTGAGAAAGCCCTTCGAAAGCTGCTGTGGCACAGTGGGTAGAGAAACGGGTTGATGGCAGAGTTTAGCCACAGAAGCCAGAATGTTATTTCGTACCAGTACCGTACACATTCACCGTGACAGGCGGCACGAATAATCATTAGTAGAGTGTAAGGAGCCCAGCAAATGGCAAAAATGCAAACAATAATGGCCAAAGATTTGGCGATCTTTTTGTCTCGAGACAGTCGAGATACCTGTGTCCTTCGGCTGGGTGCCATGCAAGAGGCTGTGTGCTGAAAGAGCCTGGAGTTTTTTCTGTTAGGAGAGAACTTCTCCCTCTGCAGGTATATTTGACTGTTATTGGGCTCCCCGCAGGAGGAAGGTGACAGGACATCGTCGTCCTCTATAACTGCAGAGATAGCAGTAGGCTCACTGCAGGACACCTTCCGAGTCTTCACAAAAAACACAGACCAGCTTCCTCCTTCTCTGTGCTTCTTAGTGATCCTCTGCGCCTTGGCCTCGTCCTCCACACAGGCGCATCCCCTCTTGGTCCTGCGATGGATGTTCAGGTAAATGCTGAGGTTGAAGAAAGTCACGGACACAAAGGGGGTGAAGAACTCAAAGGTTGAAGCGCTGAGCAGGAAGTACCAGGTGTAATAGAACTCGGCATGGCACTCGTGAGCGGGGACGACACTCTGGCCGACGATCGACTCCCAGAAGATGATGGCAGGGCCGTAGAGGAGGAAGGCCAACACCCATACTGCCAGCATCTTGAACACAGCCTGGCGGGTCATGTTTCGCTGTGCTCTGTATTTAACCTGTGTCAAAAGAGGGGCACAAGTGTGACTCACAGCAAGGAACATAAACTGAGCTGCACAATAACGCTATTTGTTACATTCCACAGCTGTTCCCATATGAAAAACGCACTTGCTTCTGCTCTCAGTACCTTCTACAAATGAAGCCCTGTTTGTATATTTAGACGCAGTAAATACCCACTCGTGAGGCTCTCATTCTGCTGTCACTGAAGCCAAATAGAGAAAGGGGATGTCAGGCAGAGAGCCACATTCCCTGATGCAACATAAGAGTGTGAAAGAGACATCAGGTTCCTCACAAAAATCCACTTTCCCTTGGCATCACCCTTTGCTCATTCTCTTTACACTTGCTCCAATTTAACTTCTTCTCCTCTCAGTCTAAACTCTATCTCGCTCTTTTATTGGGGTTCTTTATTTTGTCTTTTCTTTGCCTCTGACAATTACATATTAGTTCAATGGAGGTTGAAACTGCTGGGTATATCACGATGAGACAATGATGCTGCAACCTTGGCTTGAAAGCAACTTTAAAAACCAGCTTCCTTGGTAGTAAAAAAGAAAAAGATAGCCACATCGAATCTTCCCACGGTATCATTCCAATAAGGCAAGACTCGCACATTTCCATTTTACATTACAGGAATCCTGCTCTCTACGATTTGAAAATGAATAACCATATAAATAATAAATTCTACTGAGCTGTAGAGATCAAACCATCAATCAAAAGGAGATAAAAAGCAGTCAGAGGCAAAGAGGTGTTATTAACATACATACTAAGTAAGCAACTACACAACCACAACATTTCTCTCAATGTGGCGTCGCACAAATATAGTCAATTAAAAATAAGCGCAACATTATCAAAACGATCCCCATGGAAATATTTAGGAAAAAACATGTCCGGAGATTTATTTGTGGGAGGAGAATTTTATAATTATGTATTAATACTGGGTCAACAGAATACTACATCATGTTTTGATTCAATATCTGGTTGTGCTGGTAAAGGTGCACACCAGCTATTTAGTATTTCACTTTCACATGTTTTTGTCACAAGAGACAGATTAAACAACAGGAGAGGGCCTGATATCCTAATTTTGGTCTCAATATGAGCCAAGCTCCAAAAACCATGGATTCTTCTTCTTCCATGATTTACCTCAGCACATTATACTCTTACTGCCTCTAAATTGCACAATCCTTCCAGACACCATACCTCCTAGAACATGTTAATCCCAAACCATTATTGCACCGAGTATGTCATATATTTTCAAACGTTGAAAAGCAAGATATTATTAAACTGTTTTAATTGTCTCACTTGAGTAGTTCTTCCTCGTGTGTAAAATGGAGTGCCCTTTTAGCCACACTATATTTGTCCTTATGGACTTCTGAGTTGAATGCTAATGTTTAAATCCAAGATATTTACATACCTAATTGCCACAGCTCAAGCTCTGTGTTTAAACTGACACCTTATAAAGGATAAAGCTTTGAATGTCAATGACTCCTTACTGCAGAGCAAACTGAGAGAGTGACACATTTAAGAATTGACTGTGGTAGTATGTCTGAGTGTGTGTGTGTGTGTGTGTGTGTGTGTGTGTGTGTGTGTGTGTGTGTGTGTGTGTGTGTGTGTGTGTGTGTGTGTGTGTGTGTGTGTGTGTGTGTGTAATGAGCACCTCTGCAGCCTGTACTTACGGCTCGTGTGACTGACAGGAAACGGTCATAACTAATGAGGACAATGTTGAAGACTGAGGCGGTGCAGAGCAGGTAGTCCATAACCAGCCACACCTTGCAGAGCCCCTTACCCAGCATCCACCGGCCTGTCAGGTGGTACGGGATGTACACTGGGATGCAGAAGGCACCTGAAACAACCACACACACTGCATGATAATTCACCCCCACAACCAATACTATTAACATTCACACCTCTCCAGACCCGCCTGGATGTGAGACCCTGTACATGTGACAACAAAGATTACTGCTTGCTGCATTTTACCAGACAGATGCAGAGGTTTTATACATTTTAGAAACAAGAGCAGCTTGCATTGGGTTGTTTGATTTCAGTGAAGGGTATAATTTATCTAATGCAGCAGATAAGAGCAGAACAATAAGAGGGGTGTGAATGCTAAAAAATAAAACTAGGATGCTACAAATATAAGCAATATTTAATGGTAATGTAACACATGAATGAAGCAAAAAGGACAAGGTCACATACACTCAACAATGACTCACTGTAATTATATTGTAGGGAAATAACAATGGGTCTGGGGCGTGCAGAAATAGCCTTTTAGTGTTTCTCCATTCATAGGGAGGAACAAGAGACTTGAAAGAGACACATTTGAGCAACATGACAGAGAAGACACAAAGAAGAAGAGGAGGCACCAACTCACCCACGAGGAAATCAGATATAGCAAGGTTCAGAAAGAAGTAGTTGCTTTGATTTCTCAGGGATTTATCCACAATAAAAGCCATGATGACCAGCGCGTTCCCAGCCACCACAACGACAACCAGAGTCACCATGAGCACCGATAAGATCACGGCCAGGTAGCCCGGGAGGACAGTCCCAGCCTCGGACACCGCTGGAGTCAAGTTGCCGCTGGAGTTGCACTCCAGAATATGCGCGCTCATAGTTAATATAAACCCACACTCATTGTAGACCTGTTTCATTTCAAGCACAGAAACAACGCACAAGTCCAATTACGCGCCCAAACGTTCCGCTCCACTGTAGGCAGGAGTCAAAAATGACTGGAGACCTGTGGATAAATACTTTTTTCAAATCTTCCATTTTGTCTTCTTATTTATATAAGTTTAAATTGAATCTTAATTTTTAATATTGATATTTGTAGATCCTCTGGGTGTTTGCTCCTCTCTCTAGTCAGCAGGTTTTTTAACCCTGCTGTCTGCTGGATGTGCGGGTGCCGCGGAGCGCACTCTTGCTTTTGTCACCCATGTCAAGCTAGCCATACTAGAAAAATAAGTGCTATATCCGCTCAAACTTACACAATAAACGTCTTACAGCAACCTTGTACCAAAATGTTATAATATGTATCCTATCTTGGTAACAATGTATTAAGTTACAGTGACGATTTTCTCAACACATTATCCACATTCAAAGCCACATACAGTGTATCCTAAAGGAAAGCCACATTAAGGACAGTTAAAATCTCTAAAAGCCTGTGCAAGCCCACATTAAACGATAATAGTGTGTTGGTTGTTCACCACATTAAAACCCTCCAAAATATAGTGTAATCACTTCAATTTCGCCACATGCTCGAGTTGTAAATTGAACAAAGAGGTGTCAACTGCCAGCGCTTTTATTTTGTAGGCAACAACATTTCCGGTATCATTCGAGTGATTTCTTCGCACTTTACTTTTTGCCTCTTTGTCCGCGCAGCAAGTGATCAAAGGCTGAAGTCTGCAGTCAAAAGCTGAAGTGGTCCAGACGCCTGAAGCAGACCGAGATGAAAATGTCCTGAGCTTCAGCCGGCAGAGAGGAGCTACATCAGCTGATCAGTGTTTAAACAAAGCATCCAGTCATTCAGAGATTCTGAGGTCAATGTCTACTTAACAAAGACAGGAAACACCACGATTTACCATCGTCTCCTTCCAGCAACTCAGACAGGATATTTTGATAAGAGAGACTTTAGAGCATCAATAAAGAAAGTCAGTTACATTCTTGAAAAAGTTCAACCTCCACGATCAGTTTTAGTTAAAAAATAAAACCAACAAGGTCGCTTCAAGCCCTTAATTGTTCAATATTAAATAGATAAATACAACATTATAAAATAAATTACGGAAGAGAGGCTGGTGAAACCCCCACTGTTATATGAACATATTAATAACAATAATAATAATAATAATACATACTTGGGGATGAATGCTTGCATGCTATGAATTTATATTTATATTATTGGTCTTCGCTGTAAAATTGGACCCACCACAGCTCACCATCTGGATAACATTTATAATTGAAGTGGGCTGAATATTCTCCTCAACTCTGAATATGAATTTATGTCCGTGCATTTTTTCACAAGCCTCTAAAAATATAATTAGGGGCTGAGATGATGTGTTCAGCATGATGACAGCTTGTCAGAGAGGAAACAAGTCTTTTAAGTGAATTAGCTCTAATTATACCCAATGGTTGAAATGAGCAGGCAGCTTTGTACACAGACATGGAGGAAATTTCATGAAACTCTCTTGAGTGTCATTTATATTCTCATTTAAATTCATTGGATCCTGATATCAGTTGTATTCCCTCAAGATAACCAAATCTTTTTTTTATGTCACAATAGTAGGATTGTGGTGGGGAAAACTGAACTGCCAAGGGCGATGATGAGCCCTGTATATTTTTAGAAAGCAGTTCTCTGCTGCCTAAAGCCAACCCCAGAGTGCTTCATATGCAGACTGTGTTTTTCCAGGCATCAAGTGAAACCCAAAACGAAGAGGTGAGGCAAAGTCCCACAGGAGTCAATGTGGGGTAAACGCTACAGGAGAAATGGGAAAAGTGGAATATTTAGCAGGCTTCAAGCACGGCTTCAAATGGATTTCATATGCATTGGGGAAAACGGTCATGTGGATTATGTGCAAGCGTGAGAGTGTTTTTGTCGATGACACTCAGTGAACTTCATTTTGTTGAGCCGTGTGATCATATTCTTGGAAACGCTGAATGAATTGTGTATGAATTTCATTTACAAGCCGATTGGCTGATGGCTGAATTAAATATACAAGAACATGTTATTCACACTTTGACATCAAGACAGAATGGAGCATTACCATTTAAAATGAATGGTGACAAAAGATGTGAACAAAATCCTTCTTTCAAGTGTGAAATGGCTCAGGTGAATCTAATCCTGATGGGTGAACTCTCTATGAAGATGTCAAAGTAATGTTTTCTGCACGAGTCTCATGGTTTGATTGTTTTAATTAAAACATCTCATTTCAATGCTTCTCAGTCAAAATGCTGTCATATAGAGTCCAGAGTTGAGGCAATCAGCTAAAATAATTAAACGTTGCTTAAATATATTGCAATACTCGTCATGTTGAATACATTATTTGCAATTGCAAGAAATCCCTGTTTGACTCCATTAAGACACAATTTAAACAACCTTAAAACAACCTTCTCAAAAAGATGAAAATGTGTTTGAATAAAAGTCTTGTCCAACATTCATTTCATCTTCTTGCTTTTTGGCCTTTTGATCTTCGCTCCAGATTTGGTGGCCTCATCCTGTGAAACACGAGGAAAGATTTAAGAAATTCAACAGACTGATAATTATCTTACATTAGCATCGCACTTAATGGCGCCAAAGCTTTTTCTATGTTTAGTATTTGAGTGCTGATTTAAAGCTCATGACTCAATTTGTGACGCAGACTTTTACCTGAACGCCTGCTGCGATTCCCTTCCTTACTTAAATGTGCAAATTACAATGTACTGATTGGCATGCACCCTACTGCTTTAATGTATTCAAATAATTGCATCAAACCAAACATTGCAATTTCCAGTACGCTTATAAAACATCCGCCCACTAATTATTGCTCTAACAATTCAGGCTGCCAACTTGTAGACCTTTTTGCACTTTAACAGCATGTCTGGACAAAAAGCCAGCAAAAATGATAATATCCTTTCATGCAGCTGAGTGGAACATTTTAATATGCATGCCCCATTATATTTAATATGGTGTTTGCAATAGAGCTGTAAACCAGTCACTCACAACTTGTTGTCCTAATTACCATTTAAATAATGTTCCTTCGTCTGTGAAGGTTGGAGTTTCCCGTCAGTTTTAGCCAACAGGAAGTAGACGTGTTATTGTTTTAATGAGTGTAATGAAACAAGTGTCAGCTACTTTTTATCTTGTTAGTTGCTGAAGTGTAACCTGCTCAGCTCTTGTTGTGTTCAGTCTATTTTCCTCCTAAATCCTCTCCAATTACATTAAAGTCAAATGTTCTCACCATCTCTTTCCCCAGAATTATCGTCCTGTTTTCCAATTTACACTTTACCTCAAAACCTGTTTGGCCTCTTACTTGGACATTATAATATTCTGGATTTTCATCAACAACATCTATTCGTAGATAATCGGTGTACCTCAGGGGTCATTTATGGCTCCTATTTTGTATTCCTATCCATGCTTCCTCTTGCCATGACTCTTGGCAATTGTATTCAAGTTCAAGTTCAAATTCAAAGGGGCTTTATCGGCATGAACAATGTTCAACATTACTTTTCAGGCTGCGCTGTATTCTGAATTTATCAAAACACGCTCAGTATAACATTTGATCCCAGCTCAACCTTTAAAAATCACATCACTGGCTTTTTTAAACACGTTAATTCACTCAGATAATTTGTAAGGGCCCTAAGAAATCCACGCTTTCACTTATCACAGAAAAAGTTGTTTGGTTAATAATAAATGTTAAACTGAATGTTTTTTTTTCCATTCTATTCAAAGGAGCTTTTCCCACCCACAGGCAGTGACCTATAATGAGCCGTCATATAGTCCTGGCTTGATGTTGACAGAAGAACTCAGCCTTTGTTGTTAGGAGAGAAATCAAGTTCTGATTTCTTCTGAATTGATGGGGTTTTGAAGTAGAATTTTTTTTAAGAGTAGGTTTGCATTACCTTTATTCTGTCTGTGGCAGCAGCTCACATGTCAATCATGTTATCAATGAAATAACTTTTCAGAACACAAAGACGACTTCAAAGCATGACTGGACCTAACTTCAGGCCGCTGAGAGCCAGGAGACTGTTTGATCTCCAGAACATGTGGCGACACTTCAAATGGACCAATATATAATGTGACAGCACCTGAGGAGAACTGTGGACACACAAAGCAAGCCCTACACACACGCTACTGTATATGATTTTAATGCATGTTAAACTGTAACCTGTAACGGTTAACTATCTGACAGTCTGTCCTCTTTTGAGTTTCAGAATCTGCTTTGGTTGTCAAGAAAGACAACAAATCTTATTTGTTTTTGAGATAGTTGGATAAATATATGGGTAACAGTCAATTAAAATACAAGATATCAAATGTTTACCAGCATTAGGGAATCTGACAGAAAAGTCAAATTTGACCGATGACATGTCAGTGGAAGATGACAGAGAGATATGTAAGAGTGTCTCACCGTGGAGGCAGTGTAGCCTTCCTCCACCAGGATATTTCTGGCACAATTGTTGATGTGTTTGAAACGGTCAGGACCCAATAAAATACCTCCGTACCATCGAGACACGACCACCATGACGTTTCGCACATCCAGAATCTGTGGTGACAGACAAACACATGGAAAATGTGAAAAGAGTGTCAAAAAGCTGGCATGAGATTTACAAAATAAACTGGGACACAACACCCCTTCGCTGGCTACCAGCACGATATTTCACACCAGATGCGATACGGTGGATGAATCTTCATTAAGTGTATCTGGTTCAGGCCATCAGCTGTCAGTCTAAAGCTGATGGCCTGGGCCTCCAAAATATGTTGCTTTTTGGATGTGCTTCACAGACTCGGATATCAAAGATATATTTCACTTTCATCTTCATGTGTAAATATCTAGCACCAGGAAATTCTTAGCACACACACTGGAAGGTTCAAAAATTGTAAATTCTCCATAAAAGATAAAGCACTCCCATGGTAGTTAACTAGCACTGTTTACTAAAGATATGAATACCAGTTAAATAAACAGAAATGTTTATTAAAATAACAATGTTTATAATCCACAAGGCAATGTCAGACGCGTAAAAATGAGTCATAAAAAGACAATCAAAACAATAGTGTGCAATAAACTGCTCTAATCAATATTATTATATTAACAATGGATCAAATGTTGCAAAGATTATTATTCTTATAACTTTGAATGAATGAAGGTCAGCCGTTATCCATCTTGCATCTCTCTACTGAACAAACAGAGATTAAATTGACATTCATATTATCACCAAACTCCTGATAAATAGCAAATAAGCAACTTTCCCAAAATGTCAGACTATCCCTTTAAAATAAATAACTTGACTGCCAAGCAACACACATAAAAGTGCAATGTGTTATTTGAGGGGACTCATCCACATCTGCCACGGCTGCCAACACTATTAATCAGATTCTTTTTTTTATTCATCACCTCACACTTCCACATTAAGAGGCAGAGAGCAAGAATCTGAATGAGGAAACAGGAAGAAAAGCTTGTGGAGAGGAATGAGATTAGAGAAGAATAGATTAAGGAGAAAGCTCTTCATGAAAATTGCTCAGAACGCTTAGAGTGTGACAAGTAGAGGATTAATCAGTGTGTTGTTGAAAAGGATGAGCGATGACGAGCGTGAAGACAGCCGACCTGATGCCATCGCTCAGTTACAGTAGGTCAGTCAGCTGCAGAGATTACCTGTGAGCACCTCTTTACTCTGCTATAATGCAGTGATGGTGCTATACCTGAGTGTTACATTCACATGGAAATGTACATTTTGTATTCGGAAGATGCTCTACAGATATACATCTATCACAGTCAATATGTTAATATTTTACTATTCAGTCTAGTTGTATTTTTCAATTTTGAGATGTATATATGAACTGATTATATTTGTTTATTTTCTACTTTATTTCATTTTCAAATTGTGTGCAATGCCTTGTTTAATGTAAAATATTTACAAAGAAAATCAATAAAGTCAAGTCAATCTAATCTATATATACTCAAGTTCCGTACTTTGGTATATTTTTGAGGTACATGTTTTTAATCAGGACAGCTCTCCACTTTAAATATATATTATATTTTTTTAATTAGCTGTCATAACAGTCCTATTTTATTTTATTTTGCTTCGTATTCTTCTCTCTGTTTCTTTGTATGCACTGCATATACCAAAGCAACTTCATCATATGTGTAAACCTACTTGGTGATAAAACAGATTTTGATTCTGACTTCAGTATTTCCATTTTATGCTACTTTATACTTCTATTGTTCGACATCTTGGCAGCAACTTTATACTCACATACTTTATCTAACAAAGTTATGTACTAGTTACTTTTGAAGGTCCAAATTATTGATGCAAAAATGTAATTGGATAATGCATTATGATGTACTAATATGGATGGAGATACCTGGCAGTATGACCAATTATTCATGTTGTCTCGTTGTTTACTAGATGCAAAATTAAATTGATAGTCCCATTAATTCTATATAATATATATTATCCCAAAAATTGCCACTTTTTAATTTGGTACCTAAGCATATTTTGCTGCTAATTGTTTTGTCACTTTCCTTAAAGGTGGGGTAGGTAATTTTGGAGAAACCAGCTCGAGTGCGCTAGAATTTGAAAATACACAGCGGGAAAAAATCTGCCACTTCCTTACAGAGCCCCTCCTCCAACACACACGAACGTGCACATGACCAATAAGGGCACGAGATAAGTTTGTGCACAGATGGAAGGCTGACAGGCAGGTAGGCCATCCAGTTATTTTAGCCGGGCCGGCTAAAATGATTGGTCGTGCTTTTTACAGTACTACGGCTTCCACAGATGACATTTTTTTATGGATTCTTTGTCAAAGCACTTAAGATATTCATTGCTATCGGGATGTTAAGAGCATTCCATGGAATATAACAAAAAGTGTATCTCGAGCCGGTTTCTCAAACTTACCTACCCCACCTTTAAGTAAAATGTTTAATGCAGAACGTTTATTACTACGTTTATTTCTACATTGCAGTAATATTACTTTTACCTAAGTATCAGATCTGAGTACTATTCCATCACTGTTATTACGTACTGTAGCTCTGCATAATGGTTAAGAAAAGAAAGTATGAGAAGTAGTTGCTGAGTTCGGAGAACATTTTCGGAAAAATAAACAAATTCAGTATGTAAAATCTGATTTGTTTTGCTGCAGGACAAGCAGTAAACAACACACATTTTATAACTTGGCGATAGTGTTAAAGCAGCCGATAGAGTTCAACATTAGCATTCATTTGATGTTTTCTTTAAGTCTACCGTCGCCTTTCTTATCAGCTCTGTTTGTGTTACTGCTCAGGGAAATATCTGAATCCTTAGCTGATAAATGAGCTGCTATGTTCACCAGCTAGCTGTTAAATGTGTGTGTTGTGTAATTGCTGGGCAGAAAGAGAACAGGGCTATTTTAGAGCTAAGGTATGAAAACAACACTGATGAAATTAGTGAGAACACGCTGTGAAAACAAAACAATGAGCTGGACAAAAAAGAAGCTCCCTTGAATGAAGGTGAAGGTGTGCAGTGCGGTGATAATTTTCTGTGTCTTTGTTAATACAGGCAAAACCTTTCACATTATAGCTAGAGAAAAGCCAAACGTTTGTTTTTTACTTCTTTAAAAAAACCTTCAAACATAAAATGTGTTCTATTTTAGCCATGCTGTGCGCCATTGTCCTGTTGTTGTGTATGGTCTGTTTTTGATCCATACAATGCGGGCAGGGTACTTAACCATATAAAAAAGGAGATAATGAAAAGACGTTGACATTATGGTATGGCAATGAGCGGTTTTGCCTTTGTGTAATTTTGGATCTTATTTCCCAAATAGTTGCACTTCTGATTTTCAGGGGATTGTCGCCACAGACACTCAGTTTGTTATACTGCAAATGCAAGGGCGTAGAGCAGCTGGTCGCAATCCATATTGCTGAATAACCTCATCCAGCAATAAATGGTGACCTTACACACATGCATTACATTTGAAGTCTTTGCAATTATTACCTTAATATAAAAATATCTAATAAAGTAGCTCTAATAAAAGATGAATGAAATATCCACATGGATAAACATGTTTTTGTTGGGCTGAGGTCTTACCTGGATGCATGAAAAATTGATTAAAAAAGATGCACACTGCTTGACAAGCATCCTGAAACTTAATAGAGAACGCACCCTTCCAAGGTTTAATAAATGTATGTTGTCATTTATCCAAAAGATAATCCAAGCAATTCAGAGCCAAGTCTGTCTGTGCTGAGCGATGTGTTGGTAAGTGGCTCAGATTGCTTCATCTGAATTCTGTGCAGCAAATCACAGCTTCACCAAGAATCCAATGCACTGTTTGACACTAATGTATCTCTCTAACAGGGTCACACTGGATGGATGACTGCCGTCATCTAATAAATGAGTATAAACTTTGACAAGCGTCATGGATGTCATCTGGAGGAGCTCTGACATGACTCAGCGCCTACTGATTAATGAGGATGACAGAACTACTTCAAGTCACGGCTGAGCTCTGATACAGGACACTTTTTTTGTTTTGTCACAAACATTTCACTGGCCTTCATTCAGTGTTACGGGGAGACAAAAGTGTGTGGGCAATTTCAGTGTGATGTGGGTGTGTGTGAATCACAATGCCATCTGACAGCACGAGACCGTAACTAGTGCCTCTTTTGAAAGATTAGTAATTGTGTGAAATTAATATTGTGAACTATTTCTCTGAGTGACAGAGGGGGCACATTTGCACATTATGTAAAAACGAGTGGTGAGGGTTGTACTAGTGAGGTCATGTCCCCATGTTACATTTTGAAGAGTCTTTATAAGAGTTCACGAAGATGAGGTACACAAATGAAATCAACCTCAACAGGATAAAAGCAATCATTGATAAAAGCTGAAGTAAAAATGATATGCAACACATTTCTCAATCACATTATTCTTTCATCTCGGGATCCAGTGGCTTTCGGTCTGGCGATGTTTATCTGCAGATATCTGGTTATAGAGAAAAATGGCTGTCTCGCATAGTGCTTTGATTTCTGGTTGCGTTATCGTGATGATGACGAAACTCTTTCTCACACTGTCTCAAGGCGCTCAGACAATTAGTCCACTAACTACTTAGTCAAGCAGAAAATGAGTTGGCGATACAACTTTTTCAATCACATTTGCTGCAGTTTCTCATACGTTATGATTTGAATATTTTCTCTGTTTACTGATTGTCAATTGAGTCTATTTTTGAAATATAATATTCATCAAAACACCAAATTACAGCCTAACAGCCTCTTAAGCTATGTCTCACTTAAAAACTATACATAAGGTCCACTATGTACACTGTATATATTTTCTTTATCATAAACTGCTGTATGATCCATTCTCTTTATTAACGATTATTTTAAGCCTTTAAGATAGTTTTGGGGATGTAACGCATCAAGGGGCTGAAAGTTGAATTCGACCCAGCATCCATTGCAGCAGGTACTGAGCCCCAGTACTACCAATTGAGGTGTGCAGCGACCCAAATAAAGCTGCATTAAAAGGAAACCAAGTATTACCTTTGACAGTAAACTCAAACTGCAATTTTGCTGCGCATGGGTTCCCTCGACAAAAAAGCAATGGCATTTCTCTATAGGATTTTGGTATATTGGTAAAACGAACCTGTTTGATAAATGCACGTTTTGTTCAGCCAGATAATCTCCACATGTGTACCCTAGTTTTATAATTTCCGAATCATAAATCTAATCGATACATTTATGATCGATAGATTTATGATTCCTGCACCACTCTATTACAAAATAAACGTTTTGTTGGGGAATAATTTGCCCTGCATGTCCTCCTTCGCCCTCTGACGCAGCTGACCAACCTTGAGCAGCCGTTATCTCCCATAAGGAGGGGCTGCCCTAGCATATTGTTGATGTTGCCAGTTTATGACCGGGCAACTCTCTGTCAGCGATAGTCATTGTTGTGGGACACCTGGAACACATCCTTCTCGGGGTGTAGATTACCCCCGAGCCATAAGCAACAACAAATGTGATTCAGTGTCCCTCAGCTGTTTAGTCTATCTATTGAAGAATGTTGATTATTACACTCTGAACTAGTTAAAACCTCGAGCTACAGGAGGGTTCTTCAGAATGTATGTGGCATCTCTATCGTGTGGTCAAACCGTGGCCCGTGAAATGTCTTGTGAATTCTCCGGCCGAAGCTCCAAATAAACCGTCAGTGTTTGCTATCAAAGCTCCAGCTCTCCTCGTGTCTCTCTGAGTCCTGACTCCAATTGCTTCAGAAGTTTCCCCCACACTTTAAGCAAATGTTGTTTTTGCTTTGTGAAATTTCAGTGGAACCATTTCAACACCATCCACAATTGTTTTCCAGCTGTCACTTTTCCAGTATTAACCCACACTCAAAACCTGCTTAGAATTATAATAGCAAAGAGTCCTTGGTGTTTTTCTTGTGTTTCCACCGCTCATGTGTCTCTGTGTGTGTGTGTGTGTGTGTGTGTGTGTGTGTGTGCGTGTGTGTGCGTGCGTGTGTGTTTGTTGATGTGGCCTCCCTTCCTCTCTGCTCACCCTGCACACCTGTCTTCACTCGGCTCATTACCTCTTCCTGTCTGCACACCTGCCTCTCATCAGATCGCAGTGTAGCCACCTCGGCTCCTCAACCGATCTTTGCTAGATTTCTTATGTCAACCTCAGTCGTTACGCTTCCATGCCAGCTAAGTTCAAATCAAGTTCAATTTTTTTTGCGCCTCAGGTAGTACCCTTGTGTCCCAGGATCATCACCTTCCTGTACTCCTTCTCGTCTCTTTTCCTAACTGCCAGCAACCTATATTCTATTCCTGCCTGCAAATGTTTTTTCTTTCTGCGACCAGATTCCCATTTCCTGTCATGAGCGCCTTTTCAATATCCTCCTCTACAATGATGCACCTATTTTTGTCCTTTTTTCTTATAAAAATTGAAAATGATTGGAAAATATAAATGTCATTTGAATGAATCATGAACACTTTTGTTAGAAGCAGCACCTAAAATCTCTATTTTTTTTATTGGAACAAAACGTAGCCAAGGCCATATCCCTGTTTGCCCCTTAGATTAGGCCCACATTACCACAATAGGTTCTCATGTGAACCGACGGATAATTCAGGCTTTCCGGTGGAGTAATAATAATTATTATCAATATGTATAGTGTAGTAACCTGCCCTTTTTCACTTCATCTAATTATCATATTTGTTGAATTTATTTTTGAAGTCCATATATCAATGTTAAAATGTTGTTATTAGCATAAATATACACAGTCTATATTTTCGGTAATGATTGGGACCACTTTGTTCTATGAAACACTACATCGTTTTATATTGCATGAATATACTCTGTGTTTTTTTTATGCAGAACAATTTCTTTAAACATTTATGACAGACAAGATGCTAAACTACCACAGGAGATGTCAGACTCTGTGGAAAGCTCCTTACTCATAACAATCCCAGTTTAAAGCCACAGCAGAAGCCAATTTGTGCACACTGTGAGAATGCACAAGGCGGCTTAGTACAGACGACAATTAAGCATGCAGGAACCAAAAGAAATGTGAAATGTTTGTGACATCAGTTCAGGAGAAAAACGTCATGTGTGCTGCTCTGACTCACTCATCAGTTCTTTTGGTGCCTTTTTTAGTCAAATGCAGTTTAGTATTCAGCTGAAAGAGTGATCTGTAGGGTCAAGGTGAGTATTTTATTAATGAACTGATCACCTGCAGTAGATGGAGCAACCTCCCCCCCGCGGCTGTCTCTCCGTCGTCCTCACAGTCCTGCAGGAAGCTGTTTTTGTCCTCGCAGTAAATCCTTCAAGAGACAGAACCCCAACAGCTTGGCATTAGGTGGGAGAGCATTGAGACATTTGGTAGGAGAATGACGCTGTGACACCGGCAGCCTCTTTAAATGTCAACAGTAATGACCACCCAGGCAGTGGATGAGCCGCTCTACATTGGCCTCTTAAGACTAAACCACTGCACACATTAAGACATATAAGTCCATCCCCATGATAGTGCTTGTAATGATCCCAATGCAGTGATTTGGCCTTTAGAAAGCGTGAAATGCCTTGTATCTCTACATTGCTCCTGTTCTTTTGCACTAATGAGAACACTATTACAGTAAACCGAGGGTAGTCTGATTTGCATAATGGAGCCATTATAGATGTTAGGTCATATTTAGTATATGTGACCTTACTGACCTGTATGCATATATATTATGAGTGGCACTAGCAAGCTTCTTGTTCTCATACAGCTTCTCCAGGACCATTTTAACCTGCAACACACGACAGGTGGAACATGAACATCGTAACTCATTCCTTACTTCCCTCTCACATGCCTTTACATCTACTCTATTATGAATACTGCTGACACAATGATTTTATCCTGTACTCTGCTTCAGCACAGTGTTAAATATAAACTGCTTTCATGCTGAAACCCTGAGTGGATGTGCAGGTATGGTAGCAAAAGTAAGTACATTTCAAAACCAAGTGAGTTTGAAAGTGATGCTGTTTCTGTGCAGATGACAACCTCTGAGGTCTGACGGTGCTGACTAATACACGAAACAGCATTAGTCAACTGTGTTTGAAGGAAGAACAAATTTCCTGTAAACAAACTAAGATTTGAATGGTTAAAAATACATTTTCAGAGTAAACTATGGTCTGGAAGATAACAGGGAGGCATGTCTACTCATTTTCCAGTTTTAAACTTGGATAATATTCTGGTATCATGACTGAAAAAGTGTATATTTTTCCTGATTTATCCTTCATTTGAAATGGCAAAGGGACAAAGACAGACACTTATCAGTTGCAAGGAGCATACATTCACATTATATATATTTATCATCTGAAGAACACACTTCACAGTTTTGTTCACCATCTGCGATGTGTGACCATGAAAATAATGCATATTCATTTAAGACGTATATAAATTAATTATACATTCACAGCCTCAACAGGATTCATCATATTAGGGATATGGGGATGTGGTCATATCAGTTTTATGGAGTTACAAACATCTAATATGAACAACAGTAAAAAGACGTTATGAAAAACATAGGCATGCATCAAGTGTGCAAAAATATAGACTATTTAATACAAATTGCAAAATGTACTTCATCATTTGAACAGACCATTTTCTGTTAAGCTTATTTTTAAGTTTATGATGATATTCTCATTTATTTTATGACACATTTTATTGATTACATTTTAGCAACAAGGAAGTGTGCCAACTTTGTTAACTTCCTGCCCCTAAGCGTTATATTTGATTTATCTTGTGCAATAAAGAAAATAATTTCCTGTGTCATTGTCTTTGAATGAAAGAAATATAGACATGCACTGAAACAGTTATATAAATAACTATATTAAAAAAATATCACTATTGTTGTTAATCCTCCTGCTTCTTTAAATTAAAAAAACTTCTAAACCTTATTTCTATATTTGTAACACTAATATTTCAAATGTACCTTGGCACAATATTCCAATTTGGCAAAAAACATAATAAAAGGAGAAAATTGGAGCAATTAAATAATTTGTTTAATAATTCCTATTATTATGATTTGACTTGTCTGCTTCATTTCCTCAAGTGTGTGAAATGTCACACTTTCTGAATGTAATAGTTTAATATTGAACTCTACAGGACTCCATATGTGTATGTCTCTATGTTTGAACAAAGAAACTTCAAGACTAATTTGAGAGAATATGTAAATGCTGTGCAGGTCACAGTTGAGTCCATGCATCTGTTTTCCGTCGGCTGCATCTGCTCGTGTCTAAAAAGCACTTTTCAGCAGGTGGAGGTATCTTAGCAAATTCCTGCATGTTGATCTGAGTGAGATCAACATGCAGGAATGAGCAAGATGATGTTTAAATGGTTGTGGAAATGAGCTAAAGCATATCCATCTCCTCTCCAAGACCCTCGCGGAGTATTTTCTACTGAGGCTTATATGTGCTGTCGTTCGCCATCTGTCTTTGTTTGAGAAAGATAAATGTAAATCTTTTCAGATTACATTACATGTTACTTGTTAGACACTTTTATCCAAAGCGACATACTCAATACTGTGGGCAATCCCTACAGGAGCAATTTGGGGTGAAGTGTCTTGCCCAGGGACACAACGACATGCTGACTGCAGTGGGACTCGAACTTGCTACCCCCTGATTCAAAGTTCAGCACACTAAGTTCAGTGCACTATCCCACTGAGCCACAGCGTCCTTTAAAAACTTATAATTATTTTGTCTATTTATCTTTTTCTGTCTTGTGCGATATCGGGGAAATAATAATCTATATCAAAGTTACCTGTTTTGGAGTCACCACAGGTGCCAAGTGAGGCTGGAAGGTGCTGCGTCGGTCTGTGAGGGTATTTCCATGTTTTATAGGAGGTGCCTCTTCATCTACGGGAGAAAATGTACACAAAATAAAACGTCCATTTTGAAATGCTGTGTTGAATGTTGACAACTAAATCCAATTTCTAACAGTCTATTAAACTGTAATGATAGGTACCTTTTGCAGGATCCATGAACAGATGTGCATTTTCTGTGTTCAGCTTGAGACTCCTGAAGTCTGGCATGTCTTCATCATCATCCTCTTCCTCCTCAGTCGTCATGTTCACATTCTCTGGTTGATCCACTGATGCAGAAACAATGTGTTAAAACAATTGTTACGGCTGCTGTTTCTGCCTGCTCGTTAACCTGTCTGGGATTGTTTGCAGCTGTGTGCGTGTGTGTGTGATATGTAAATGAGCTGTGTGGTTGCCCCAACGTCATTGGCTGTCATCTCCTGGTCCACCTCCGAAGACACTGATTAGAGCACGCCGGGCCCGACGCTCTCCAATCCCCGTGCCATCCCAGCGCACACCTTCCGGAGATGACTACAAAGCCTGGGGACAATTATCACTCAGGAGGCTCTGCTGCGATCAGACGCCTCAAAAATGCTCTTGTGTCGTGGACACTACAGACTGTGTTTGGTGTGATAATATATGTGCTAGGTTAACAGTGGTTAACTCGTGTGGTCCGTAGTGTTGATGTGATTATATGTGTTTAAGTTAGGTTACTATTATGTTAACAGTTGTCTCATAGTATAGCTGTGTTTGCATACAGTCTCCTTTGTCAGTTGTACCACTTTGATAGTGAGGGTTATTTTGTTTATTAGGTATATTTCTTTGTATTTAAGTAGGCTCACTTTGTAGAGTCCTCCCTTTGTTGGTTACCCATTTAAACCGACGCCCTTTTGGCTAATTTGTTTGTTCCAGGCTGCTTGCCTGCCTTTTTGTCAAACAGCTATTTAATAAACTCTTTATAATATTTACCAATTCCAACTGGTGTATGTTGCTTTCTTCTTCCCCTAGTTGGGACGTAACAACAATGTTTGTTTGTTTTAATCCTAAACCTTGTGCCTGTTAAAGGTCTCCAAACGTGGCAGCTTGTCATTAAAAAGACACCTACTGAGCAACTTATTACCAAATTACCATTACATGACCTTAACATTTAGACTAAAATGATTTCATGACCTATGATATCAGGCAGACAATTCATAATGGATGAAACCAATGATCAGAGCGGGACTGAGGTTTTCAGGACCAATGAAGATGCTGATATGTTTTAAAAAGGGTTATGCAAGTTGGACTCAGCTTGCATTTAATGGTGCTTTGTTATCAAGGAAACAAAGATGTGTGACAGTATTTACACTATCATAACCAATGTGCTGTTTATGTATTTATGGTAGGCCAATATTTAATCAGATTAAAATATCAGTTAATTAAAAATAAATGTCAGGCCTCAAAATAAAAGAGCAACACACTATCAAAGCACTGGTAGTTAAAGGATAAGGTTGCGGTTATTTGCAATTGTTGTTATTGTCAATAAATCCATGAAAATATCAAAAACCCTCCCACTTCATCAACAGGCTTCTTGTGGCACTCTTCGGTAAAACGGTGCCTTGGGAAGAGTGAATTCAATTTAAAAAAGGCTTAATACTTTCATTCAACAGCTAGGAAAAGTAGGTTTAAGCAAAGAGTATAAAATGATGAACCAAGGATTATGTTAAGAATAATGCTAAGAAAAAACAAACTAAGATGACCATAATTAAAACATCAAAGTTGAAGCAGGTGCAAATCTATAGACTTTATGGACTACAACTGCATTAAGTTGTGCAACGCTGTGTTGCAGAATGAAATCATCCTTGAATCTAACTCGCTGTAAAACATGTGAAGCTGATTAATGCCTCCTTGTTTTTTATTCTACGCATGTAAAAGCACAAATAGAAGTACACATTAATTATTTAATTACAGGGGAAGGGGGGGGACTTCCTATTTAAGTCGCTTTTTGTCTGGTCTTTTCAATGACATATCATCATCACCATCATCATCATTATATCTCATGCTTTTAAAGTCCTCTGTTATGTTTGCTCCCTTTTCATTTCCTTTCTCAGTGAAATGTGCATTTCCAGCCTCATCTCCCTGTCTTTCACCCTCTCTCTCCGATGTCCCTGGGAACCATTTGAATGGGAATAAACTGTCAATCACGCTCCACTGAGCTAAAGTGCTGTGACTAGTAACACTTATTACCACAAGAATCGCGGAGAGAGTACAATTTATACCACACAACAATGGTGGAGAGAGTTAATATGTTTCAGGCTTGTTGCTTTAAAAGCTAGTCTGCCTCAATAATGGAAACTGCTGCAGATAATCAGACACACCAGACTCCCCTCGAAAACCTGATGCACGGTGGCACTTGTAAAAAAACTTTAATTTTTGAATCTTTTCTTCTTTTAACACTTCGAAAGACTCTGTCAAGGTAACAGAAGCCATTACATAGATATTGATCTTAATTCAATCCATTCACTCAAAGTCAGGCACAGAAGGTTTTTTGTTATGCCCCTAAAGGCCTTTGTGCTCATCTTATCACAGCTTTAGACCACATCACAGAGTCGCTGTGCTCATGGAGGCGGATCTTAGGAGAACTTAGATAGAAGACGCATTCAGACGAGGTTTCAGGTAGGAGATTAATCTGGATCTTTGATAGGAAGATTTGTTAATAAAACATGATAATAACCGATTGATAAAGAGTAGGTTTTATCTAAGCATGGACATTCATTTGTAGTCGAGATTGTTGGAAAGCAAAACACCGTGCCCGATAATATATTGTCCACTCAAGAGCTTAGCAACCGTAACTAGGCACGGCAGCTTTGCATTTCTCCTCATGTGAAACGATGTGCATGCCGCTGTTTTAAAAGCGATACTTTGACTTTAGTGAACTGAGGCGATGGTCTATTTTTAAAGTTTGAAGCTGTGTGCGAGACCTTTTATTAAAAATGTCATCAAATTAGCATTTATTACATTCAATCCCTTGCCGACCAGGTTCACACAAGGCTGAGCCTATAGCTGCCAGGGAAAGCTATTATAAAAACGAGGGGCATGTCACTAGCAAACTACTTTTTTCTTTTGTGGGATTACAGGTTTCATTGAGCCGTGTTTGCGTTAGAAAATGTGTCACAGTTATCATTGTTTCAGGAACTTAGGAAATGAGTGCAATAAAAAGTCATGCTATTGTGTATGAATTAAGCTCTACTGCACTACTCAATGTCCAAGTTTAATTCCAAGTCATTACAAACAGCTCGAGGAAGTGTGTCCCTCAACAAGATTTTAATATCTCACACCTCACCTGTTTCTGAGCTCTGGGATTTCTCTAGGAGGAATTCTCTTATTATCTCCACCCAGAGATAGAGGATGCTCTCCCCCACATGCTCCCTGTTGAAATTGAAATTAATACATATGAGGCTGGATTCTCTGAGAGACAGACTACAAAAGACTGCAATTTGGAAACAACCATGATAAAAAGCTTTGTTGTGGCTCATATCACCATACAAAGCCTCTTCGAGAAGTCAAAAAGCACTCACACATAAAGGTCCTCCAGGCTGTTTGCCAATTTGGTCCTCTCCAGGCCTCGTAACCACGCGGCACTACAAAAGCAGAGAGCAAACAGAGGGTATTGAGAAGGAGGACGAGTGGGTTTTTGAGGGCGATGTTGTTCTATCAGTTCAACAGATCTTCGTGAGATTAAATTTGAAAGGGTCTCGGATTCTACACTCACTTGATCTGGTAGATGGGCGGGGCGGCACTTGGATAATCAGGTGGGAGAATTATCTGATCAATAACAAGAAAATTATAAAACAGGAAACCAAACAAACAATGCCAGAGATGTGTGTTTAATACATGAAAGGTGTATTCTTTATCTACCTGCAAACATGCTGTCAGTTTTGATTCCTCCAAGTCATTGGATATTTTGATGCAAAATATTCTGGATGCTTCATCTATGACACACCATTCATCCCCATAGATGGAAGACAGAGCCTCGACCTCTTCAATCTGAAAGAGAGGAAACACAAACAGAGCAAATGCATAAGTTATATATGTCTGTTGACGTGAAATACTAAAGTAATTATTGCATATGGACTAGTAGTAAAATATTTCATTTCCTTCCATCAAAATCCAACTGCAGGGACTTAGGAAAAGGTCATGTTATTCAACTTAAACTAACCTCAGAACTAATCATTTGATCTTCCAAAAAAAAGATCTGGGCAATATGGAGAAAAATACATTTACAATATTTGGTTAGTAAAGTGTAGTGCCTTTTCATGCATTATAACCCTCTTATTCACTGATTCCTGCCAATGTCCATTAAGCTTCTCAACAAACAAATGTATTGTATAAATGTGATGTTTGCCATGGGGTTGTGCAGTAGGGGCCATTGTCAGTAAGTTGTCTGTCTATGGCCCATTCTCATTTCACTAATTTCCCCTCCTCGAATCCTCGGTCCTCTGGTAGTGACCCGGAAATAGATTTCAGCACGCCATGTTGAAGGACATCTAATTTCTCTAAATACACTTCGAGGACCGAGGATCGAGCATCGAGGAGGCTCTCTGGAGGAGCTATAATCAAGGATACACTGATGGATCCTCCGCGGATGTATTTCCGGCAACAGTGATGTTTAAAAGAGTCGTGACGCACGGCCGGACTTATCTCAGCCAATGACAGCTCTGCATGCATCCCCTGGATAATATTTTATTAACTGCTTTGATGTTTCCAGTGAGAACAGCTGTGAGGTCCGTGCAGAAAGCAGAGCAGTGTGTATAATATATATCACTCAGTATAACAGGCCTACTCTCTTTATTTGCATGCTTTAGTTTAGTAGATATAGATATCTACTAAACAAAGAGTCGATATTTTTCTAAAACCATTTAGTGATTCACATAATAAAAAATACACAATGGCTGTATCCTGATATATATTATGCTTTAGGTGCGTGTTGTAGGTTACAGTGTGTATGTGCGTGTGCCCAGTGTGTGTATGTGTGTGCGTAGATGCGGCGGACAGGCGGGTCTCAGTTGGTTTGGTGTCCTATGCTTACTTTTAATAATTGTAAATAAAACCTTTGGCCCGTAATTTCATTTCCTCATTGTAGCGACCAGAGAGGAGGGGGGGTGGTTGTTTGAATCTGAAATTGTATATATTTAAATAAATGTATATTTATGTGTGTGTGTGTGTGTATATGTCCGCATCTGTAGCCTGTTATTGTCTCATTATACCGCACTGTGAATGAAATTAAAAGTAAATATATAAGTCGTCATGAACACATCTGTCCATCAGACAGAGTGCTGCTGTGCCTCCTGTCATCATTAACGGACGTCTCTTTAAAATGACCGCTCAGAGGAGAGGATTTCTCATTTCTCTTGTTTGAATCTGAAATTGTAAATATTTAAATAAATGTATATTTATGTGTGTGTGTGTATATGTCCGCATCTGTAGCCTGTTATTGTCTCATTATACCACACTGTGAATGAAATTAAAAGTAAATATATAAGTCGTCATGAACACATCTGTCCATCAGACAGAGTGCTGCTGTGCCTCCTGTCATCATTAACGGACGTCTCTTTAAAATGACCGCTCAGAGGAGAGGATTTCTCATTTCTCTAAACGCCTGCTGCTTCCACTCCTCTCTCCTCGGTTCCCCTCCTCGACTCCTATCCTCGCATCTCCTGTGGGCGGGACTAAGACACAAGGATAGGAGTCGAGGAGGGGAGTCGAGGAAGGGAATTAGAGAAATGAGAAAGGGCCTATATGTGCAAACTGTGTATCTGTCAATACGTTATTGTGTTTTATCGTGTACTATGAAGTATCTATGGTTTTTTATCTTTTGTGGAACTGGAGGACGGAGTCCAAAACTAATTTCCTGACAACGACAATAAAGTATATCGTATCATGATAAAGCATGCAGTATTATAGTTTCTTCAATATGTACTTCACTGTACTAACCACATACAATGATAACTTATGATACTGCAGGAACTATTATAGTATAATGAGTAAAGTTGTTGGTTGAAGTGAGTATAGATCGTTATTATGTAATATAAACCCCATCAGTGAACCTCTAATTTATAACTAGTCAAGAGCATCAACAATTCACTTATAATTCAGTGTTAGTCACATCAACAAGGTTTTTGGATGATATGATGCATCAGAAAGCATTATTTGTTTGTATTGTTGGATTCCCTGTGGATGCCCTCACAATGCACTATATGTGTGATCTTTTTAGAAAGTGTTACCAAAGTATTAAGCCTGTTTCCCAAGTTTGACTGTAAAACAACATTCTGGGCTTTTAAAAAGCAGCACATATTAATGTAATCGTACATCAGATGATGTGAGAGGGACTAACTGGAGCATTTAATTAAGTCTGCCTGTGATTGTGGTCATTTAGATTATATTAGATATACTTTATTGATCCCAATTTGAGAACATGTTTTCATCACAGCAGCATGTAGATAAAAAATGTAAATGCATGTGAATTAAAAGCTAAAGCAAATCCTCAATGGAAAACCTGAGAACAATTTATACAAATGAGTGTTATTTAATAAGAAAAGCGAAAATTGAGTGGGATCTGTTGAAGCAGATCTCCTTCCTTTGTGTTTCGGATGCACTGAGGTGACGTTGTGAACCATGCAGCCCATGCTGAGCTTCAAACATTAACACATGCCAATGTGCTAATGAAGCCAGGCAGCTCGGTAGTAACAACCTGCGGTGTGTGTGTGTGTGTGTGTGTGTGTGTGTGTGTGTGTGTGTGTGTGTGTGTGTGTGTGTGTGTGTGTGTGTGTGTGTGTGTGTGTGTGTGTGTGTGTGTGTGTGTGTGTGTGTGTGTGTGTGTGTGTGTGTGTGTGTGTGTGTGTGTGCATAATGTTAAACGGTCTGATGTTGTACCTCATGGTTCACCTGCCAATACTGTATTTGCCACAATTATCTGAAGGCCAAATGACTACTCTACAACAAAACAGACATTAAACGCAGACCTACAAAACTTGCCACATTTTCTTGACATTATCAGAGAGGTTGCAAAGGCAAAGTTATCTTACTTGAGCCAGAACATCTCCTTCATTTTCCGGATTTATGATGTCGTCCATTTGTCCAAATGTCAGCTAATGCAAACTTGAATATATACTCGGGGGGGGGGGGGGGAAACTGATAACTAGATTAAATGTAATGCCCATGAATGAACTACATGTTGACTCCATAGACTGTATATATAAAGGGTTGACTCTCATCCTACGTGTGTGAAGTGTAAAAGCTTCCAGGGCAAAGGTTACCAACGTGTTTTTACTCAACAAAATAAAAACTGTCAGGACAAACACAACGCCAAAGGAAAAGCGTGTGGAGTTCGTTATTTTCCATTAATACATTTTAATGGTTCATATTGTATGAAATAACAATTTCACTGAAATGTCACTTAACAAAGTATTCAGCGTTTGAAATAACTAGCAGTGCTTTTATTTTGAAAGGGACCAATGATTACCTTGGGCGAGTTCCGCTGTGATCAGCTGATGGCAGTGTAAACAGAAAGCAGCGGTGGATGTGTGACACAGACAGCTGTTTCGCCATCAGTCAGCTCCGTGTCGGTGGAAGACGATCATGTGAAAGGTGTGTGTGACAGTGTGTTCAGGGTGATGTGTCAGAGTGTGTGTGTGCTGCAGGCCAGCAGCAGGAAACAGTTCAGGGGGGCTTAAGGCATCACATGCAGCTGCACAGAGGGCCTGGTGAGGGCTGAGGATTTCACTTCAGGACTGGAAGACAAACAGCAGTAAGTGTCACCGATATTCCTGTTTGCTTATCATTTGCTGAGGGGGAATGTAAATACAAAAATGTAGCCTAGCTCCTTTCTTCTTTCTTTCAAGTCACTTTCTACCTCTACCTCACTGCATTTCAGAGGGGAGTATCTTAGTTTTGAACATAGCCTACTATATTTATCTAGCAGGTTTTTAAAAAGAAAACATGTCACCTTCCCAAGATTTTCTTATACGTTATTTAAATAATTGTAATGTAGTTTATAATAACATTTTGAGGGTTGTTCTGTTGGTTGTCACAAAACAACAACTGTGACAATATTTCCAGTACTTTTGCCAAACAAGAAAAGAAAATTCAGTTTTACCAACAATATCTCAAAATGTGCACGAGTAATACTAATTATGTATTATTATACTATTACAGTCAAAGGGGACAAGTGTTCTACTTTCTCCACTTTGAGAACATAACATAACATAACATAATTTACCAATTATGCTGCATGATTTGTTCTTGTGATTAAGTATGTTTACACTGTGTAATTAGTAATTACACTTACAGTAAGTGAAGGATCACTTCCTCGAATACTGATTATTAGCTGTGTTTTTCTAATGAGACATCAGCTGGTTTCATGTCACCTGGTTACAGCTGTCATCGCTTCGGGCTATATTTCCATTCACACATTTAGCCTACAACTGTTTTGATTTGAGCTAGAAAAAAAAAGATTTATAAAAAATGGTTTTACCGTTTACGTCCCCAAACTATTATGAGTCCATTTATTTGTATGTTTACTCGAAGGCATCTGGAAAAGCAAAGCAATGTTATAAGCTTGTAATGTGTTTTTAATGGTAATTATTCATCTGGAAATTAACTTGTAAAGCTCTCAAATAAATGAAATGCAAAATGAAGGATCTTTGCCTCTTAACAAGTGGTGGAATAAAAAGTAAATGGAATACAAATTAAAAGGTGCATGAAATGGAAAAATAAGCCCAAGGTGATGTATTCAAATTGCTTGCTTTACCAGACTAATAGTCAAAACACCCAAATAAAAAAGGCATTTTATTCATTTAAAAAATGGCTTCAACATTTTTGGTTTATTAAAATATTAGAAAAAAAATGTAAGAGGTCAAAGGAGTGATCAGATTAGGTACCATAATACATTCATATAAATAAGCGATTTTAAACATTAAAGCTCTGCATATACTCCAATAATGCTGTTACTAAAGTGTACAGGTGTTTGCAGGTGTATAGTAGAAAGACAGGCTTAGTAACCGTTAGTGTCACATGCTTTCCCATCCTAGGTAAACCTGTTTGAGTGCCAGTCGAGAACTCTCTCTGCAGACGTCTTTTTTATCCTCTGATGACGATGCGGTTCATTTATTCTTTGTCATAGCCACGTGACATTCCATGACATTACATAAAGCATGCGTTCAGTTTTTTGTCTCTGCATACCAATCTTTAACTGCAAATGTGGTCATGTGGAGTTAGACAGTATAAAGGGGAGGTTTCCTTCCTGTACAGCTAGTCTGATGACCATATTGTGTAACACTTGCTTTTTAATCACTGCATGGCAAAACAGGCTCTTGTGACTTTCGTCCTCACATGCCCTAAACCAAGTGAGATGACGACTTATCACAACTTCTCTTAGAGGTTTGAAGAGTCGCTTTAAAAGTGCACTCCAATGCTTTTACTCATCAAGTACAGTTTACTTTTCACAGAGAGTACTTCAAACTTTACAAAGTGTAGAGTGCCTGATACTCCCTGACCTGACGCTTTGGTTTGGAGACACACACACATTGTAGCCGAAAGCCTGGGTTACAAAACTGAGGTGTGGTGTTTGGAAGAGGTGAGTTTACAATTAAAACTGCAGCTGTAGACGTTATCCCTTTTTGTATCTTTCTTGTAAGTCCCTTAACTTTATGAATAGGGTATTGCATTTCTTTTACGTAATACTTTTGTAGTATCTTTTTGTTTTCTTACAAAATTATTCAAATGTTTCCTCTATAGAATAAGCTAGAAGTGCTTTCTAAAGCCAGTAGATCTCTTTTCAGTGAATCTGTGCATGTGTCCTTCTGAAAGCATATTTGTATGTACAATTTAGTCTCAGAAATATAGAGTATCTCTTTGTGCTGTTCCTTCCTCTGCAGGGGTCCATGGAGGAGCTGGAGCCAGAGGAACAGTTTCTGAGTTTCGCCCGGAACGGAGATCTTGCGGGGATTCAGAGGCTCCTCATGTCCAAGATAAAGGAAGAGACACAGATCAACATAAACTGCAGAGGTACATGAGTCAGACCTTATGACACACTATTAATCACGATGTCTGATGTAATACAATGTGTTGTTTTCAGGTAAAAGAAAGTCTAACCTTGGATGGACGCCTCTTCACTTGGCCTGTTACTTTGGTCACAAAGATGTGGTGGAGGAATTATTAAAGGTAGGTTTTTTTTAATACAATTTGAAAAAAAGCTTTAGATTTGGAATGTTTGCACGGGTAACAAGTGTGTTTTTTTACTTTCTGAAGGCAGGTGCAGATGTTAACTTGCCGAATAATGTGGGAGATACACCGCTGCACAAAGCTGCTTTCACAGGAAGAAAGGTACCTCAATGCCTCTTTCTACTGTTTTTGATTCTCTATTGATGAGTATGGTTTGATGCATGCATGCAATTATTCATCCATTCATTCAACGAATCAATCAATAAATAAACCAATCACGTATTGATCAGGAGGTTGTCATGCTGCTGCTCCACTATGATGCATGCGCTACTGTCATCAATGGGACAGCACAGATTCCCAAAGATGTCACTCAAAATGCAGAGATCAGAGGCATGTTAGAAGGTGAGAGAGACACACTGTCATCTGATTTTCTGAAAACATATTTGTATAGATCTCAATGTTTAGTGTCTTAATATCTATTCATACAAGTTGTTAAAATAACGTATATATTTTTAAATCCTCCTACCTTTCTTCTTGTAAATCCCATTGTTTTATCGATATCAGCGGCGGAGAGAACGGAGGAGAGGAAACTGGAAGAGGAGCTTTTGGAAGCTGCACGAGAAGGAGAGCTTTCAAGTTTAACTCACCTGGTTAGTACAATATACCTGATCTAGTACAGCCAAAAAGGAAATGAAAGTCCTAAACAGCAATACTAGTGTGGAATGTCCTCAGCTTAATTATGCCAATTTTTGCAGTCAGTATTGTGGAATAACATGATGTTCCGATATTTATTCAGATCTAATAGGAATGTCAATGTCAGTCCATCGGTGTGTTTTCACTGCGTGCATGTGAGAGTGCTCCAGTATACACTCTCAAACAGCTTCACATATTCACAAGTCCAGACAAGTATACAAATGACTACTCCCTTAAAATATAAGCCTCATTTGAAAAAAAGGATATTTGCCAGCAGATCTCACAAAATGGATAATAGCAGGGAAGTTTTAAACCATAAGGGGATGATTGGATTTGTTTTAAGTGGGTTTGTATGAGGTACTCATCCACACTCAGTGTATAACCTACATAGAAAGTGACTTTCAATATTCTTAATAAATCGTAAACAGATATAGATTTTTTAGATGGGCCTTTTTTCAGGTTTCAAAATATGTTTTTTTGCTGCCACTGACGACCTCAGTAAATACATTTGCTTCTCTGTGTGTTTCTCTACACTTGCATGCCCACCGCCATGTACTGTAGGTAATACACCGAATGTGGATAAACACCTCAAACAACCTTACTTCAAAACATCCTAATTATACCTTTGGCTCTTGAACACAGAGGGAGAAGAGTTGTGCTTCAGTTCTCAGCAAAATAATAGACCTGCAGGACTTTTGGCACCAGACAACCCATCTGTTTTGGTTGTGTGTGTTCGCTGCAGCTCAGCAGGAAGAAGACCCCAGACATCAATTGCACAGATCTGCTGGGTAACACTCCGCTGCACTCTGCAGCCTATCGGGGCCAGAGGCAGTGTGCCCTGAAGCTGCTCAAAAGTGGAGCAAGCCCCAACATCAAAAACAAGAAAGGTAAGACTTAAAAGCCCCCCTGTCTTTAAAGGATACAACTTGATACATTCTATATTCCCCACATGGCAAGATCAAAAGAAACAAGGAACTGGCGAGTAATCCAGCAGATAATACTCTCAGCAAAAACCTAATACAGCTTTGCTCTGTGTCTTGTTCCTCTGAGCACATCTATTCACCACACTGGTGGCTACGATGGGCTTAAAAGGCACATTAAAAAGCAAAAAGACATTTCCATCAATTATTTTTTTACTAAAAAACATTCCCTATGGTGTTAAGTGAAAGACAATTATCACTTATTTTAAAAGGTCCTTCACCCAAACAGGAATAGCAACTGACTGATTAAGTAGACATTTTTGTTTGACCTATAATAATAAATAAAAAAACTGGTAATTTCTTTGACTTTAACGTTATTATCAAAATGTAAAAAACTGCCAAAGCTGGGCCTGTTTGTCTGTAAACCAAATTGATATTTATAACAGATGTCATTA